GCTGAAGAGCCCTTGAATTTACAGTTCCATGGACCTTTGAATCTTGGCCGGTTTGTTGATCAAATTGGCCAACATCAAAGGGACATGCTACTTACCTTAAATAAGCGATTGGGGCTGGTGTTGCTGATATTTAATAATATTTTTAATGGCTCATATCAGTGACTTACAAATATTTTTTTTTTGCTTTGCAAAGATATAAACAAATGAATCGACACTTTAAAACTTTAGTTAAAAATAGCAGTCTCAATCTAGATATGTCTTCGAAGTTACTATTTTAATCTTTCAGCAAAGAAATGAATTGAAAATTAGCAATAGGTTATTTCAAAAGTGGCATGGTTTCAGGTTATCTTCCTGCAGAAATTGTGTGTCTCCTTTATGCATCTAATTTTCTTTTAGAAAGAAACTTCCACTATTTATTTTTAATATCCACTTTACAATCTTGATATGGGTGTGGGGAAAGAGCGAGGTTGAGATTACAACATTACAGCAATGTTGTTTAATATATCACAAATAAAACAGTTATTTCATGGTTCATTAATGTGTTTAGTGTCTGGAACTCTTTATTAAAAGAAGGCTTGTTGTTGTTATGAACATGCTGATTGTCATCGTTAAGTGAGGGGGAACCCAACTAATTACTGAATGCAATCATGTGTTCATTTACAAGGATGGTGGTTTCTCACCTGCAATGCCCTTATTAAGTCTTTATCCTCTGACACCAATCAATTAAGACCAGAAGCGCCAAGGTCCTTTAGCACCATCCTCCAGGCAGGATGGAGCGCAACAAGAGTTCTGTTGGGCAGAAAAAGTCTTACAATGCCCAGCAACCTCCAGCCAGCATGGGAATTTCTACGTACATTGCAGGACCCATCTTCAGTCACAACATGCATAATATTGCACTCTGAACCCTAACCTGAGCCATACGAGGGGTAGCTTTATTCATTTGAATCCTTTCTATCATTTTCTTTGATTTCTTCGCCAAGCTTTCGGCCAACCCGGGCTCTTCTTATGGGTAGATGTGATGTACAAACTTCAAAAACTGAATTAAATTTTTGAGAGTGTCTGTCTTCCCCAACCATCAACTCCCTCCAGGCTTGGACTGGTCTTTCCTGTGACTAAGCTGACCATCCCGGCTTTCTTCATTTTGGTGCCAGAAAAAACCAGCCAGTTTTCAGATTAAACCTATCTCAAACCACCTCTTTATTCTCATAATCTCAATGCTTTTAAAAAGTCTTGTATTGTTTAATCATGATTGACTTTCTCCAAGCCCTTTTCTGAACATTGGCTCTTTGGTGGGAGAAACACTGAATGCAGAAGTCACACAGTGCCTCTGTCCACTGTGATGTTGAATATATTGCAAATATAGGCAAAGGCCTGCAAACACAAAGTAAAACACGAGACCTAGAAGAAAGATTGGGGTATTCTGAAGAAGCAGTTGGCAATACCTGCAGAAATCTCATCAACACGGTGAGCCATCAAACTTGACTGCCACACCAAATAACTCAAGAAGGTTTTGATTGGACATTTAGCACACGATGTAAAGAAAACCCATTTGCCGCAGCTGTCTTTTGCCCACGAGACTTCCCCAGCCTGATGCCTTGCTGATGTGGTGGACTACAACTGCCATCATCCCCATGTAGAGATACATCAGAGCTTAGCATCCTCATTCTCGCACCGCCTCTTAATGCAAGAGGTGCACAATGCTGGTGCTTTTACATGCCGTGTTGGCTGCCACTCGTTATCAAGAGGAATAGTTCCTGGCATTGCTCCAGGGTTGAAACAAGGGTGCTCATCACAGGAAACCCCCAAAGCTTTGAAGGTATCAGTCGAGTCTTGGGAAGCAGCACAGTGTGTCTTGTTCAGCTCCAGAGGGTGAATCCTAAAGACTGGCATCTGCCCAGATGTTTGGACCTTGGCTAGATGGTGTGGACAGTGTGTACCTAAATTGCTTTGGCTCTGAAAAGTAGTCCTTCAGGGATGCATCATCAGCAGGATCGGTCTAGAGGAATGGTGTGGGGAGCCTGAGCTGGATAGTAATTTCAGCCAGGAAGCCCACGAAAGAAAGCAGTGAAATACGAGTTGGGGAGATCAGCAAGCAATTCCAGTGGATCCAGCCATTCCTGGGGTTACTCTCAGTTCTGCCACTGATGTATTATGCAGCAATTTCAATCTCCAGTATTGTGTGGCTTAAGAAGAAAGAGGGGAGGGAAATGCCTTGACCCTTAGATAGGCACACACAGCGAGCCATTCCCAAAATATCATGCTGACATTTGGAGAGGTGAGCGCCTTGGAGGCAGTTTTATTCAGGGCCAAATATTGGTTTGCCCCACTCAGAGCTGGACTTGAAAGGGTCGAGGAAAAACAATTGCTGGTTCTTTCCGCAGGGCCACATGAGAGTTAAAACAATCTCAGAATGCTGAGAACAGCCTGAGATGCCTGCACCGAGTTCAAGGGAGCATTTTCTTTCTTAGCTCCGGGTTCATGCATGTCTGCTGTCTTTCTCCATCACTTTTTGCCTGGTACTCCAGCTGAACAGTGGACTCCCACTCCTCCATCTGCCGAGCAGGTGCAGGAAAGCAGGCAATTGCTTGTTTACCGTTCACGCCCAGCAACAAAGGAAGCTCTGGAAAGCCAGCCCAATCTGTTCGAGAAATGTGCAAAGGTTGGTCGGGATGCCTGAGGGGTGAGAATCTGTTGCATTTCCTCCGTCTTTGCTCCTTCCTCACCTTCCCCTGCCTACTTCCTTACTCCCCTAACTCTGCCCGGTGCCAAGCATTTGTGCAAGTATCCATCAGGTAGCAGGTGCCGCAGTGCGAGTATTACTTGTGAGTCCAGCTTGCACATCTGCTCCTGCCGCCCACCCACTGTGTAAGCAGGGATTTGCTCCTGCAGGTGTGGCTTCTGGGCTTTGCATAGCATTCCTGAGCATCCGTGTGCTTGATCTCGGCTTCCTCGCTGGAGCTGAGCGCAAGGAAGATGCCCAGTGCAAGCAAGAGGGCTGCATTTCAGGCAAGTCTTTGCCTCACTAAAGGCTGGTGCCCAAGAAATTGCTTGCAGCGAATGAGGGAACAAGGGGCAGATGTTTGCACATGCTGATTTGTATCGCACAAATGCAAATTTAGAAGTTACAATTGAAGTGGAAATGCAGTCAATCTCCTCACAGGACAGACAACTTGGATTGTCTTGCTGATTCCAGTTTGCTGTCCCAAGTGGAACCATATAAGAGGACATACGGCCACCTTATAATGCATGTTATTTTGGCACCTATGTAATACCTGCCCCTTGCCTTTTTAGTGTACTTGATTGCTTCCAAACACACATTTCCTGAGCAGACGCCATTTCCAGGGATCTTCTAAAGTAGGAGAGCGGTTCTTCCAGAGTAGTCACACTTCAGTGATTTGCTAAACCAAATTTCAAATCCTTTCCTTAAAAAAAAGCACTTATTTATGCACTATGTTCTAGCGGAGAGCTGGAAAACTTATATTTTGAAATTCTAAGAAGCAACTGAAGCACAGGCATGAGCCAATTAAGGGGAGCAGGGCTAAGGAATCCCCAAAAATATCAAGGCATTAAATATAAGGTTCCATGTTACAACATAGATTTTGTATGGAAGAGGGGCAGTGGTGCTTTTCTGGCATGTCTTGTTCTGAATTCCTGTAGAAGGACTACCAGTTAGCTGAGCTGGGTAGAACAATGGTCTACATTTTGTATTCTGTACATTTCTGTTTATTGGTTGCCCTGGTAGGAAAGGAGAAGATACGCTGCAGTATCTAGTTCCATCCATAACCATGAAGTGCACTGAGCAATGTGGCCAAGTCGACAGCTCTCACCTAACTTGCCTTAAAAAGGTGTTGCAAGGTTAAAAGGGGGAATTCCACAGGGTGCGCTATCAAATAAACACATCATAAGAACATGACATGCTGATGGAGGAGAATTTGACAATACGTTGGACGTTCCGGGGCTGAGCCGGTGTGTCCTCTGAGACAGGCACATGGGCACCTGTTCAAGTCAGAGAATACCATTATCAGGTCATTCTTCAGAAAGGGAAATAATGACTACGGGGTGTTGGTGGAGAAAGCACTAATGGGCAACTGTCTGGAAAGATGGAATCCTTACGAATTCTTAGGCTTGCCTAGGAAATTGGATTTGGGGTATTTTTAATTCAGGAGAATTTAGCTTCAATAAAAACCTCAGACTGAACCTAAATGACAAGACTTAAAGTGAAACATTCATTAATTTGGGTCTTTATATTTTGCTTTATTTGGATAAGAACTATAAGGATGGGGGGAGCTTTTTATGTAAGAGTTAAAAGCAGACTTTTATAGATAAGAAACCACCAAAAAATAGGCTTCGGCATCACTTGAATGCTCTCATTCTTTGGTTTGTTCCTTTGTGTTGCATTCACAATTCTACTGAGCAAAGAGAGCTGACTTAACGTGTGGAAAGTAATGCCTTCCCCTTGAAATAAAACCCAATAATATTCTGAATGACCTCAGATGTTCTGCCAGTAACGGCACAGATTAGAATTCCCTTATAGTGAACAACAGACGAGTTTGCATAAAAGCTGTCCTGAAAAGAAGAGGCAGCCTAGCAAATCCTGAGGTTGATTACCCTGGCAGAGCAATCCTAAGATGGTGTTCAGGAACCAAAGCAGTCTGTGTGTTCTTTTGGACCTTCTCAACCACATGCATTGTAGAAACTTGTTTTTCCCTTGTCTTCCACTGATTGACATCTACAAGAGCCTATGGCTAGGTTGACACATGCAGCAGAAAAAGGATGGGGATTTTGTCGTGTCTGTTTGCAGGACTTGCTCTTGGACTGTCCTCCTGCCATCTCCTGGCATCTTCAGCCTGCACCAACCTGCCATGGTGCTTCCCCTCTTGCCACCTCAGAACTTTATCATCCTTGTGCCTGTTCACCCTCATTCTCCGTAGGGCTGCAGTGTTGACTGTCTCAAGCACCTGAGTCCCTCAGTAGTACCTTTCCCCCTCTATGTTTTCCAGGATCACAGTCATACAGATGTGCCTCAGTATCGGCAGGACCACTCTTTGATTATGAGATCTATTGTCCACATGACGGACGCCACTCGTTCCGGAATTATGCCTCCCAACCAGCTGACCACTATTAACCAATCCCAGCTGAGTGCTCAACTGGGGCTGAATTTAGGGGGTACCAGCTTGCCCCACACTTCACCTTCGCCTCCTGCAAGCAAATCGGCAACGCCTTCGCCATCCAGTTCTATAAATGAAGAGGATGCAGAGGACACAAATCGGGTAAGCCGCAGTGTGTACTAAACAAAAGAAGATGCTTTCTGTTCCCATAGGTGTTGGTGTGGCTTTTTTACCAAGAAGGAGCATGACTAAGAAGGACCATCTTTAGTTGCATGATATTAGCTAATCATCAAGATACATTGCTGCCATTCTGTGACTTTTTAAAAAGAAGGACGTTACTAGCATAAGTTTCTTTATGACAACTGTCATATTTTATAGAGGCCATAATTCTGTTTGCCGTATCTGCTTGCAACACTTCTGACATTTTAACGTCCCTTGCTGTTGTGTTTTATTTTTATTCTTTTTTTAAAAGATATATTTGTCTAGATAGAAAAAGTGACCTTTACCTTGTCGTGAAAGTCTTGAGTATGCTCTCAAATTCATTTTCATCTGGGATTAAATGGGCATGCGAAGACAAAATAGCAAATGGAGAAATATCTCTGAACAATGGCAATCTCTTCCGGAGATATAAACAACTAGCAGGTGTTTGGAGGCTGTAATCTATATCTGTGTGTCCGTGTGCGCATGCATGCACTTTGGGCATGGCAGAGTTGCTCTTGCTTTTTCAGAACACTCCGCAGTTCTTTGCCTTAAGTCTAAGCATAGGAGCAGCTTATAGAAAGCTAAATAGAGGGATAGGTTGCAAAGGTTAGATATGCAAAATTCTTGATCAAAACCATGGGAGTTGCACATGTGAAAGGCCTGAAATTAATCTTGTGGATCCATCAAATGCCCGTTCCACCAGAATTCTGCCTACCGGCTATGGAAGGCAGCTGCAGAGAGATTCACTGAGGCTCAGTAGTGATTGAAGAATGACTCTATTAATTGTTCTGTGACCTGGAAGAGGGAACAAAGCCATAGTAAGCCTTCTGACAACAACAACGGAAAAGGCTGCAATGATGGGAATGACTTGCTTCCTTCTGCTTTCTGATGGGGTATCCCATTGCTGTAGCTCATCTTATATACCAGTGAATCCTGCTTGGAGCCTTGGGACAGGAAATCCTGTTATGGCTCACCAAGGAGGAGAGAAGGCATCACCAAACTAAGAAGACAAAGGAGGGCACCAATCTGCACAAAATCTTTCACTGCGAATTTAGAGAGAGAGAAATGGCGTTGTCAGTATGATTATAACTTCAGCAAGGAAACTGTCTATCTCAACATAGTTCAGATGACTGTGAGCAGGTGATGTATGAATTGCCTTCTGCCTACTGTCCGGAGGCTGTTGATTGGCATCTCCAAGGCCCAGCTCTTCTGTAAGATGGTTCACTAATTCATGTACTACATTTCTGTACCTTCCAATAGCCAAAGCTCTTTGGGTAGGTGCACCTGTTATTTTACAATTGGATTTGGACTGGACAGGCCTGTTGATGGAGAAGACCTTCAGAGCAAAGGGTCACTCTCTAGAAAAGAGAATACATGGGCACCCTACTACAAGAAGCACTAATCAGGAATGGAACCTAATGGATCCTGTTGCGGGTAATAGGTATATGGATCAGGGCAGATCAAGTTGGTTATGAACAAATATGCCACTCTTTTAATAATCAGATAATCTGTCAGTGTCCCTCGTTCATTCTTTTGAGGTCATTCCAAGTTGTCTATTTATTTGTTTAAGTATATCTTGCCTGTCTTTCCGAGTTCTCTCAAGATGGCACAGAGCAATAAAATAACCCAATAAAACCCAAGGCGTAATAAAAACAGGAAAAACAGCATGGCAATAAAATGTGCATAATAAAAACCCATACGGTTATAAAAACAGCAGCAGCAAACATCCGAAAATACATCACATGCCAGCAGAAAACAAAACAACATCTACCTACTGTACACAACTGCAGTTGCAACATAGTGCTAAAACATAAGAGTGAAGTATGAATCTCTCAGGGCCATCCTGAAAGCCTGAAATCTGGCACACTCCCAGTGGCAGGTTACTCCAAACATTGGAGAGGCCGCTGCAGAAAAGTCTTCTCATGTAGTCACCAATAAAATTGCCCTCAAAGGTAGGCAGATGCAAAGGACCGCTCTCTTGCTGGTCTGAAAGGGAGGGCAAGCTGATCGTGGTTAGGACAGTCCACTGTGAACCTTGATCCAAACCGTTTAGGCTCGGAACCAACCGATAACCAGTGCCACTGGTGATGCATGGGCCTGATATGGTCAGCTCCCCTCATTCCCACCAGTGCCTGGGCAGCTGCACTCGTCAGCAGTTGAAATTCCAGTTGCATCTTTCGAGACAGCCCCCTTGCAATCCATTCCTAGCACAGTGGAGGCCACCAGCATGTGGGGAGCTGTGGAAAGGTCCATCCCCCACAGATACAGTTGGCATCTCTGCCTAAGTTGGTCAAACACACTCTTGGACTCAGCTGCCACCTGGGCTTTCCCAGTTAATACAGACTCCAGGAGGACTCCTAGATTTGTGCTTGGCCTTTGATAATGGGAACGAGACAGGCACCTGTTCTTGGCATGCCCTCCCAGGTCACGCAGAGCTAGACCCCTCCGTTCATGTACTGTGTGAAGATGCACTTCCTTTGATTTGTCCCGAATCCCCCCAAGATCCTAAGACAAACAGAAATCTGGTTATTGTGGCCCATCGTTGGAGCAAAAAGACAAAATTTGCAATATACATACATACAAAAGGGAATGTCAGACAAAAATTACAGTATGCATCAATGAAAATAAACACTTTTATTGCAAAACAATACTAGCATCCAGAGATGCTAGTAGTTGGATGAGATGTAAAATAAAATAAATAAAAAGACCTAGCCATGCACTTATGCAAATAACATGGCCTCTCTCATGGATGCCATTCCAAGTAAAGTTTCCAACTTTCAAAACATTAAAATGAAAGTCTCCAGTCCTTACGATCAGAAGTATATTTTCTGTCTTTAGGCTACTAGAATTATTATGTTGTAGTCATCAAATATTTAATTTTTGAAGTCCTTTCTCCATGTTTTCTTGCTTTATCTTGGAATTCTTGGTAAATATAGTCGTTGGTTTTAACACAGAGTGCAAACAGCCTCATGTGTATCTAGTCAATTATATAATGACCTGTTCCAAATTTAAGGCTCTGATCTTGTTGCTGATGATTTTTATTAGACTGCAGGAGAAAAAAGAGCGGCTCCCGATTCTGGCAAGAAGCCCAAGACTCCAAAGAAGAAGAAAAAGAAAGACCCCAATGAACCACAAAAGCCGGTGTCAGCATATGCCCTTTTCTTTAGGGACACGCAAGCAGCAATTAAAGGGCAGAACCCCAATGCAACCTTTGGAGAGGTGTCAAAAATCGTAGCATCCATGTGGGATAGCTTAGGAGAAGAGCAGAAGCAGGTAACCAAGGGGCCCTTTGGAGTTTTGGGGAGGCAGAGGTGATGATGCAACAAATGGAAGGATGCCAAAGATTACAGTCCACCTAATTAAACACCAGTGGGCTGATGCTTCTGACTTCATTAATTAGAAATGCAGCATGGATGGGAGCGCCGCAAATGCAGTCTCTCATCCCAGCTGAGAAGCTCCTTCCAAACTCAGCTTCTCATGGTGTTATTAGGGCTGCGTCCACAGCTCACTGCATTGATTGAGAGTGCTCTCGAATGACTAGGAATGTGTCCCAGTGAGTTGGGCTGCGGGATTTTTCTATTACAAAAATGTTTTCATAGTAGCTCTTCCACAAAAGTGTAGAGGACAAGCGCCTCCTTTAAAAGAGGTATTCATTCTTCACAGGAAGAAATTCTATAGTGCGGGGAAAGAAACTTTGCATGGAGAATTGGCCATAATGTTAGCCCTCCCTTGTAGCCTGAAGTGGTTAGGTATTGGCGTTGCATTTTAATTGCCATGACGGGAGCAATTTCCAAGGTGGATTGCAGCGGCGGAGGAAAGGGTCAGTCTTCTTCCCCGCATTTTGCAGCCCCTCCAAACACCCACAAGGCAATTATGCTTTGAAGAAAACAAAACTATTTGTGCAATGGAAAGATCTTCCTAACTTTAGCTATCAAGCAAAGGGAGATTTTCAAGAGCATCACAGTTGTGGATGGAATGGTCATGTGGCTTTCCCATGCCCCGAGTCCTTTCCATCCCTGTTCCATACAGCAGTGAAGGTTAGGGTGGGCTACAGTGAAAAGAGTGTCTCGGAACCCCTCTTCCTGGAAGTGTATCATGTCTGCAACACCCAGGCCTGGAGAAGGGCCTCCTTTGACATCCTGTCCATAAACATCCATGGAACACCTTCCTAGAGAGATTTGCCGGCCACTGTCTAGATCCCAGGTGTACCTGCTGGGAAAGGTACAGCCATTTCTGTACCTTCACACATTCAGCCATTTCTCTTCCAGCAAGCTCTTGTCCCTTAATCCATCACTCTGGTGATTCACGTCACTTTTGACTCTCTCCTGTTTTTAAGCTATTTTCTTATTCTAACTGTTTAATATCTTGATTGGTTTTTATTTTTTCTGGGTTTCTGTTTTTAATGAGGGCTTCAGCCAGTCAGGTGATACACACATTTAAGAAAGCAATTGATCAGTCTGCACAATATAATGTTTGGGTCAAGTCCAGTCTCGAAATGAGGATTTTCTGGGAGAGAAGGGTTGGGAGGAGATGGGGAGACAGGGAGGTTGGGAACTATTTCTTTGCTAGGTCCTTGTGGACATCGTCCCTTTCGACTTCCTTAATTTTAAGTGACTGTAGCACCCCTCTTCAAAGGGAAGATTATACATTGAGGGAGGCATTCATCAGAATGTGTTTAAAAAAACAGGTATATAAAAGGAAAACTGAAGCTGCTAAGAAGGAGTACCTTAAAGCACTTGCTGCCTACCGAGCAAGTTTGGTGTCCAAGGTAAGCAGAAATTCTGACTTCTGTAGGAACAATGCTTTTAATGCAGATGTTGTCACCATATTAAACAATATACTTAAATCCCCCCCCCCAATTTGCGATCATGCACCACAATACAGTGGTAGAATGCCTTTTTGTGTGCAAATTCATCCAGGTTCTATCAAACCGGGATGACAGAACTTGGCATCTCCATTTAGAAGGCTTAGGGAGCAAGGTATGAAAACACCTCACTTGGGTGCTGAACTACACATTATACTAAATGTACAGCCTGCAGCTCTGTAAGGGTAATTTGTAGCTTAGGGATCCAATCTGGATTGGGACCACAGTCCACTGGAAGGAGAGGTTCAATGCTCTGCTTGTCCATCGATCTCTAACGGGGGAAAAGACCCTCTGGGCACATGCTAAAAAGCAACAATAAAAATAAGCACCCATTGGCATCCGCCGGGCGCTAATTGGGATGTGGTGGTGGTGGGGTTTTGTGTGGAGAGAAGAATAGTAAGGGAGGTGAAGGATTGAACCTCCCCTCTCTGTATGCTGCACCCCTGATCTGGATTGGGGGCGCCACTCTTGCTTTTCAGGAAGCCAAATGGCATTTGGAGGAGCAATGCTGTGGAGCAAGTTACAGGAAGTCAGATCCTGGCTGGATAACAGGAAAAAACTTCCTGACTGTTAGAGCAGGACAACAGCGGAACCCTTGACCCAGGGAGGTGGTGGGTTCTCTCACACTAGAGGCACCCCAGATGCAACTGGATAGCCCTCTGAGCGGGATGGTTTAACTGGGAGGCCTTTACTGAATGGAGGGGGGAGGGTTGGGCCCTTCCAGCTCTGCTCTTTTAGGATTCTATGATAGTGAGGCCTAGAAGGCTACTGTCTTCCAGAGCAGACAATGCTGAGCTAAGTGACTTTATGGTCTAACCCAGTACAAGGTGTCTTCCTAGAAAAACCTGTGCTTTGTGGATCAAGGGTTGGCCACAGAAGCTCATGGGTGCCTTATTGATGTTCCCTAAGATGCCCAAAAACTCCCTCCTTTTTGTTTTAATTGACAAACTAATTAACACGTTTTCTTACCAGCCGTTGATTTGTCATGAAATAGGTTCTGTTAGTGCTGAAACAGTGGCTTGAACGAAGTTGCTTCATGCACCCTGGCTGAGACCTTTGCCTTATACCAAGACTTTTACCAGACCACTTGACCTGCCACCTTTGGTAGCCAAACTTCATTGGTGCCCAGGGCTCCGTAAGGTTACCCACCCCTTGCACGCGCACACGGATAGCGGTTGTTGCTTTTAACATGACTACAAAATGGCCAGGCAGCTAAACAAATAAAAACACATCATGAAAGGGTATTGCCACTTAAAAAATGCAGAGCGATGCCAAGATTAAAAAAGCGTACCAAAATACATTCATATTATTACCACTACTATTATTATTATTTGCCTATATTACTATTACCGCTATTATTATTTGCCTATTCCTGGTAGTGGGAGTCAAGGCAGTTTAGAAGGTTGCAAACATATGCAATTAAATATTTGCAAGTAATGCAAATATGTACAAGTTAAAAATATGAAAACCAGAAACCTTTAAATGGGCCCTTGCCTTTGTGGAAACAGATATGGAGAAGGTGACAACCTTTTCTCCCAGGGTGGGTGTGAAGGAAATCTCACTGTGCTCTGGGAAAAGACACGGGTAGATTAGTAGACCTGTCAGGATTACAGTTCAATCGAAGAAAGAGGGATAATGAACTGTATACAGTGAGACAAAGCAGAAGCAACTGCCTTTGCCTAAAGCATTGCTGCATCATAGAGAATATTACGGGAAGCTCTAATATCAGTGGGCTGACACTGAGGTTGTAAACACTGCATTATTTAGTGGAAGCAGCCCTTATAGGGACAATCTCTTGGGAATGCCCCTTTCGTTGGAGGAATTTGTATCTACAAAAATTTGAAACAGATGCAGAAAGAGTTGGTAGTGGTGCACTGGATAGTTTGCGTTGCATTTCGCTTGGAAATAAGGAGAACCTTGGCAGAGAGCCTCAGCTATGGGCAATAGAAAAGACAGACAGACAGACAGACAGACAGACAGACAGACAGACGTGTAGCTTCAAATCACCGCACAGCAGAACCTTAGAATAGAATCATAGAGTTGGAAGAGGCCTAGAAGGGCCTTTAGGTCCAAGTCTCAATGCAGGACTCAGGCCTCCCATCCAAATACTTAACCAAGACTGACCCCACCTAGCTTGCAAGGTTAGGCAGGATCAGGCACTTCTGCCTATGAGACTCCTGTCCCCATGCAATGAATACATGTGATGGAGAATGACACGCTAGCGAGAGCTTCCGTCCTGTTGGTCCCACACCATCTGGACCTTCCGTAGTGGAGAAATCAGAGAAACCCTCACATGCGCTGCTGGGAGTTGCTTGGAGGTTGTGCAGAGCATAACACACGCAATGAGTCAGTATCACTGGAGGAACCATCCTCTAATGTCTGCTGTTAACACTGTTCTCCGTAAACCCATCACCCCACAGGCCGCAGCAGAGTCGGCGGAAGCCCAGACGATCCGGTCGGTGCAGCAGACGCTGGCGTCGACCAGCTTGTCCTCCTCCCTCCTCCTGAACAGCCAGCTCTCCCAGCACGCGGCCGTGGCCGGCTCGCCACAGACTCTGCAGCAGTCGCTCCCCAGGGCCATCGCGCCCAAGCCCCTGGCCATGCGGCTGCCCATGAACCAGATCGTGGCCTCGGTCACCATCGCCCCCAGCATGCCCACAAACATTTCCCCCTCCCTCCTCAGCTCCGTGGGCGGCAGCGTGGCGGGCGCGCCGGCCGCCTCCCAGGGCAGCCCGGCCCTGCAGAGCCACCTGCAGCAGCACCTGCAGCACCACCCGCCGCCGCAGCCGCCGCAGCAGCACATGCACCAGCAGATCCAGCAGCAGCAGCACCAGATGCAGCAGCAGATGCACCAGCAGCAGCAGCAGCAGCAGATGCACCAGCAGATCCAGCAGCAGATGCAGCAGCAGCATTTCCAGCACCACATGCAGCAGCACATGCAGCAGCAGCTGCAGCACATGCAGCTGCAGCAGCTGCAGCAGCTGCAGCACATGCAGCATCCGCCACAGCCCTCCCCGCAGCAGCATTCGCCCGTGGCCTCCCAGATGACCTCCCCCATCCCCGCCATCGCCAGCCCGCCGCCCACCGCCCCCCAGCACCAGCCCCAGATACAAACCCAGGCGCAGACTCAGCCGTTACCGCAGGCCGGCATCTTCTGAAGGCGCTTGGCAAAGGTGCTTCGCCGGACGCGGGGAGCGGAGGGAAGCGGCCCCTGCCGGCGGCGTTATGCAGGGATGCGTAACAGGCCGAGCGAGCCTCCAAACTGTCTATTAGATAGGCAATAAGGAACTACCATGTAGCTGTGTATACTCTTAGCTGACTCGCCATCTCCCTTCCCCCGTTTCTTTCCAGTTTTCTTTTTCTTTGAAGGGAGAAAAGGCTGTGCTTTTCCTTTTCTGTTTCTCCGCGTCTTCATGTAATGCCTTTTTTAATTTATTTCGAGGTTTACCTACAGTATGTGAATCAGAGAATCTCGGATACGACTGGGCATTAAGACTGAATGAAAGAAAAAAAAGGCCTTTTCACAGTTTCAGAGCAAAACTGTCCATTCTTGCAAGATTAGTAGGTGCGCTCCAACACCTGGGGGTTTTGTCCTTTGTTCCTTTGAACTCACAAAAGCCCTAAAAGCACAGTTGTAACTACCTGTAAAATTTTGATTGGAATTCATGCAATCACACTTGTGTGACATGGCTAGTTGGCGGTGTTTTTCTCTGTCATAAACAGAAAAAATAATACTGTAAAAAAATTGACTTTTGCCAAAGCTCCTTTTTTTTAACTTTTTAAAATGTCTTCTGAAGGGGAGGAAATGGAAGTGAAAGTTCTTAAGTGTCCAATCCCACCTTATCACCTTAGTTTAATTTCTCCAAATACTACACTACTTTGTATTAAAATATATTCTTACCCTGTTCTGCTCATTCCAGTTTTAAAAAATGTGAATATTATATTGTGTTTGGGTGACAACTTTCAGATTTAATACACTGTATTTTTTAAAAAAGGAAATGCACTTAAATAAATCTGTTATTACAAAAAAAAGGTAAGAAGGAAAAAAATGAGGGTTTTGTTCTTTTGTTTTTTAAAAAATGCTGTAATAACAGTAGACTATTTAAGAGGATTGCCACATCTGAATAATCAGTGTAAATATTTTCTTTAAAAAGATGTAAGTTTTTCATATCATGTGTTGTAAAGTTTTCATAAATGAGGCTTTAATGTAAACACTGGTAACATGAATGATTTAATTGCAACATTGCTTATTGTGTTTTTATGCTGTTTTATACTTTTTTATGAGTTAAGATAGCAGCAATTCTGTTTGTATTTTGCTTATCTAAAACAAATGCTTTTATCTTGCTATAGAATAAACACATTTCAGAAAAATACAAAACAAACAAACAAAATCCAGATCCCGAATGCTTTGCAAGACTGTAACCATCCAATCCTAAATGTTTAGGATGGGGTCCCTGCTCAAACCATGACTTTTCCCATCATGCTCAGGGCTTATCTCACTAGTACAGACTAGTATAGGTGGCAGATTCTCCCTGAATCTGGTGAATTTAGGGTAAGAACACAGTGGCATCTAGTTTTTCATAAATTGAGGTATTGAATGAAAGAAGTTATTCATTAAACAGTTCTCCTTCAGTCCAAGCTTTACATGTTGATCTTGCATGCAAGTCACTTGGCAACTTGGAAAGAGGAAAGCACTTCTGGGATCCCAGAGGTGGAATGTAGAACCCCAGACATTAACCTTCAAAATTTAAGAAGTCAAACCAAGGTAGTTGGGCTACGCTGGCAATTTGCAAGAAGGATACATCAGTCCATGGGTACCAGTCTGCGGGGTATCCGCTTCCTCCAGTATTAGAGGCAGTGTTTCTATGTTGCTGAGGAACATGAGCAACAGGACGTGATTCCACCCATGTCCTATACTTGGGTTCCTGCAGACAGCGTGTGGTCCACTGGCTGAACCGGCGGCTGGACTCGGTGGGCCCCTGGTCTGATGCAGCACGGTTCTTCTTGGGTTTCCTTCCGTCACCAGCTGGAAGGAGTGTCCTTTCCATTGAGCAGGAGAACTAATGGGGCACCAACTGCCCCTCCAGGAAGCCTTCCAACTCAGAAGGAATGAGTCTAGGTGGAGGAGGAGTTAGTGTTCATCATGCTTCACCAAGAAAGAAAAAGACACTCCACCACAAGAGTGGGCAAAAGATGCTAAGGATGAAAATGTATCTACGGATGCAGCTATATAAAGAATTACTATAATTTATTAGAAATGCGTTTTACCAGAGTAGGAAAGACTCTGGTCAAGGGACCTGGGTGTTGACGGCATCTGTTACCCAGGTGCTACATGTTCATGTGAAACCTGTTGCAGGAATCCGTGGAATGATCAGTGATTGAAGTAAAGCTGGTGGTTCCAGGGGATGGGGACATGGTCTCCCTTCTCTGGAGGGCTTGATTTGGTCCCTGGACCTGAGGTTCTGCAGCCCCAGTGTAGACAACCCTGCACTGGATGGTTCAAAAGCTCAGTTCAGTCTAATGCATCTTCCTAAGTTTCTGTAGTGCCCTGATCAGCCCCGTCAATATGATTAGGCAGCCTGCTGTCTTCATGAATGGCAAGAGCATTCCAACTCCATCCTGTCCTGTGCAAACAAATTCCAATGTTCAGATCCCTTGAGAGTTGTTTGCAGTTGCCATGTGGGCAGTACATACATTATCCTGCTCAGGATGGCCAGGTGGATTAACTCTTCCAGTATTTATTTATGTATAGGATTTATATACCACTTTATATTTGATAAGATACCCAAGTGGTGTACAATAGCAAGCAAGAAAAAAGAATCAAATGCAGAATTGAAATAGTTAACATCAGATGATGCCAACAGAAACATGGCTGGTCAGGAAGGGAGGGGTAGTCTAACCCTCCCTTATTGTCTTCAGCCAGTACTGGAAACAGCACCTGCCCAAATGACAGAGGCAGGGAGTCTCACGTAGGGGAGGCCCACACATTGAAGACTTTGCTTCAAATGGACTCTCAAAAGCCTGCAGGTCCTTGTGGAACGACCAAGAGCACCTCTTCTGGTGACTTTAGGCCCTGGCAAGGTCTCTCGGTCACCCTGAGATACTCAACTGGGCAGTAATGCAAGGTGGGAGGGCGAGAGAATGTGGAGGAAGAACCCTCAGCTTCCCAAATCCTATGCATCTCACATGGACCAGGACAACATGAGGGGAGAATCGGGTTGCTATGCCAATTTTGGCATGCAGTTGGACAAAACGTTTCCCACACACGTTTCTCTTTGCAGCCACCACGTAAGGTGGTTCAAGCCAGCCTACCACCCTCTGCTGCACCCTTCCCCCCACCCATGTGTTGGACTCCATCCTCCTTCAGTCCTAGCCCACATGGCCAGTGGCCAGGAATGCTGGGAAGCACAGGTCAAAAACACCTGCAGAGCACCAGACTGAGATATGTGACTGGACCATGAACATCCTGGTTGAGTGGGAGCTTGGACCTGTATTCCCAGCCAGATCCTGTAACCAAGGCAACAAACACATTGCCTCTTTATTTCATTGACTTTACTCCAAGTGATGTGTGCATTCTGGAACATTCTGGATCCAGGATCTGCCTTTGTTGAAGGCTCTGCTCAGAGGATCTCGCCACCCTTCTGTCCACTCGCACGTCACAGCTCACCCTTCCACAGGGTGTCCAGGCACTCTGTGTGGTTATATCTGGGGTTTGAAGGGTCTGCTGGGGAATGAAAAGGCAGTGGTGGCCCACTTCCATCCATGCAATTGATCTAGCTTACATCTGGATTGTATGGTAACAGAACAGAGTTAATAGCATGAAAGAAGCAGAGTTGGAAGAGGGCTATAAAGCCATCAAATCCGACCGCCTGCTCAAGTGCTACATTTGGTCACCCATCCAGATTGAGATCCATGCCTATGCAGCCTAGCAAGGGTGACTTAACTTGCTAGCTCAATGGATAGGGATGAAGGCACGGCGGAGACGACGATAGACGCCACCATGCCTGCTCATTTTAACATCCCAGCTTCGTGCAGTGCATGACATGAGAACGAATCCTTTCTACCTGCTTCATGGGCTGCTCCTTTGGAGCCAACGTACCAGGATGCAGTACGCATTGTGTTCTGAAGGAAGTCACGGAGGCTGTCGTAATCACAGTGTCTTCCCTCCCCCCCTCCCTCTCTCCCCCTCCCTTTCCCCTGCACTAGGAGAGCAGTTTGACCAGTATCCCCAGTTGTCTTGCATGATTAATTACAGCATCTGTCCTGTCAGAAGCTATAATGAAGAGGTCTTGATAAAAATTGCAAATTACCACTGGCAACAATCTTAAACTGCTTATGATAAAATGAAAATTAAAAACAGCAAGTGAGAAGCCTGAGCGGAATCCTAATCGGAAAGAGTGTGAGGCTGAGCGGAGGCTGTTCCGACGGCGGCTGTTCTCAAGGCTTGCAAGCTGGAATAAGACAAAATAGAAATCCGCACCTCGTGGCATATAACGTTGCGCTCCACCAAGGAACCCTGCACCTCGCATCTCCTGGATTCAGTTCTATGGAATGCAATCAGTGGTGATGCCCGTGTTTCCAAGAAAATTATTGTGCATTTTGCCAGAGTGATTTTGGTCCTCAAATGTATCCATGGTTTTTTCCATCTTAGTTAACTCCTCTAAAATGCGTAAAATCACATTTACATTGCCCCATTGATTTCAATCAATTCCAGGTTCTGTTAGCTAAAACTGCCATCCCCTGGTCTCTGGGAAGCTACCTAGGGCCATCGAGATCTTGTGGAGATCTTGCATTGGTGGAGAAGTGGTCTGCTCTGCAGTCCTTGTAGCAATGGTAGAAACATCTGTATCACCCCACTGCTAGTGCTCCAAGAGTAAGAGGGCAATGAGGAGGTATTTGGGGCAGCCTGAAGAAGTCCTTTGAGGAATCTGAAACATCCATTTCTCTGAGATCCTGTAAAGTAGCCCAGAAACTATGCCAGCCCTGTAACTGGGAGAGGAGAGGAGAGGAGAGGAGAGGAGAGAGGGGGAGAGGGAGAGAGAGAATGAATTATAAGCATTCAAGAAGACCATGCTTGGCTACTTGATTAATGCTTGATTATGCTTTCTTGCATTATGCAGTGCATTCTACAACAAGGGCCCGTTTTCAGCCCATAGTGGAAAAGTTTGGAGATGATATTTTTGTTTTAGCAGTCTAGCTATCCCAATTATTTGTATGTTTTGGCTTTACTTTGGGGTATTGCTTCTGTTTGGGGTTGTTAATTTCTGCCCATGGACAGCAATGGGAGGGTGGCTATTTACTTATTTATTTAGAAGGCCATGGTGGTTTATAGGCCGAAAAGGGCACAAGCAGCCCAGCCTTGGGACACAACAGAAGCTACATTGCAGATGTTTCTTCTTGCCCGCCATACAATAGTTCCATTGGTGTGGAACCAATGCCTAATCTTCTGCTATTTTCAAAAGTATTATTATGCATGTGTCACAGCAAGAATGCTTGCTTAATTTATACAAGTTTGGATTTCTGGGAACAGAAAGAAGAAAGAGAGAGGGAGAGAGATCATAGATGAATTTCTAATATCCCTTCAGTGACCTTGCACCTGTTTAATCCTGAAAGTGACTAAAAATTAAAACCAGCAATTCAAAATTATATTCCTGATATTTAAAATCAGTGTAACAGCAATATGTTGTTGTTGTTTTTTAAAGCTGGGCAGATACACCATTCCGCCCCATATCTAAAGGTCTGAGCAAATATAAGCTGCTTTCAAAAAGACAACAAAGTCTCCATCAGGTGGGACTTCAGGAAGAGAAAGCCTCTGCCAAAAGGACTTAACCCTCAGTCATAGGGAGGTATCAATTAGTGTGCTTCTGGTTCTTCTCCATTTTATGTGTGCTTCATCTTCAGTCAGTGATTTTATTAAAATCCACAAAGCTACATTATTTTGTACTCATTTTACTCCAAAGTGCACATTTTTCTGCTATTTGGAATCACAAAATTCAGAGAAGTGCAAAACGTGTCAGATAAGTGAATTCCAATCCACAAGTTGTTTCAGGAGGTGTGGATCAGGTCCATCCACCTAGGAATGTTGTTTTTGATATGTGCCATCAAGTTGTCTGTGACTTGGTGACCCTATGAATGGAAGCCCTCCAAAAGGCCCTATTTGTGACTTCCTGGCCCAGCTGTTCTAAATCCAAGACTGTGGCTTCCTTTATGAAGTCCATCCATCTCTCCTTTGGTCATCCTT